CTGTGAGTTCGAGACCAGCCTGGTCTACAAGAGCTAGTTCCAGGACAGGCTCCAAAACCACAGAGAAACCCTGTCTCGAAAAAAAAAAAGGTACTTAGAGGTCAAATGACATTTCTAGGATCATTAAAGTAGGAAAATTGTTCCCTTTTCCTTGCATTCTTGTTACAGTGACCCTAGTCTAGTACTCAATGTGTCTTTGAAGTATATAATCAAAGAGAAAATAGGGCTTACCTAGGCAGTATAGGAAAACAAGAACACCTCATTTAAAAGCTAGAAAATAAATGTTCTAGAGGCTCTTATGAATATGAAGCCAAGTCTGGGGAAGGAAGAAAGAGGAAAGGAGAAAACAGTCAGAGGAATAATAATCGGCGTGAGAAGGTTCAGCGAACAGAAGAGGCCTTCAGAAGATTTTCAGAGGAGGTCATGAGACCTTAATCTTGTCACCTTGACACAGGTATGGAAGATAAGCCAGTCCTTGAGCAGAAGTGTGGGAAAAGAGTGGCACTGAAGAAAGCAGGAGCTCAAAGACCAGAAATGCTTGGGAACCGTTAGAAAGGAAGTTAAGAGTTAGAAAATGGTAAGGCAAAGCCTTTAGAATATGGTAAGGATATTGAATTTTATTCTGAGAGAAGTGTAAGCCAATGAAGATATTCAACCAGAAAAGATGGATGATCACATTCACATTCGTGAAAGGTCACCCCATGAAATCTAGACTCGAATAAAGACGTATATCCAAGTAGGGATGAGAAGGAGTTCAGGTGAGTGGTGTGTTCTAGAGTTGCTATTTAGAGCCCAGTGAGTGAGTACAATGCTTAGTTTAGGAATAGGGTCTATACAGAAACTAGAAGAGGATCCAGGACTAATACCTAAAGTTATCCATACACAAAAGCTGGGCAGAGGACGAGAGAAGAGTGAAATCAAAGAAAATCTTAGTCTCTGTCTGGCCACCAGAGACTTGGCTGTTGTGAGGCAAGATGTGCAGATGCCTATGACTTTGCTTTTTATGCTAATCTGTCTAATCTATTGTCATTAAATGTGACTCTGCCACATATGATTTTAATTCAAACGTGTGTTATAGCTCATAAAAACTGAATAAATACAGATTGGATTAAAGTGTCAATGATCATCTTTTGGCCAGTACAAATCAGTGTATAATAGAGGTAGGACAGTCTATATAAAATGTCCTCTTAAATATTGAAATTCCAAAATTGATGATATTGGCACTACAAACAGCTATCCTATCAGGATAAATTATCAAGAGTTGCATTTCTCCTTGCTATTATATAATACTTCTATCTCAAGAACAGTTGTAAGCTACCCACAGTGCAACCACAGACTGTCTAAAAGATGCTATGTCTAGTTGTCCAATTAGCCTAGTCTACCCAAATTTTAGCGGAGTTTTTCCCCTTGGCTAAGTTTTTTTTATAATTACCATCTTCAAAGTATATTGTTTTTAAGTTATATTTAATATGGGATGAACTGTGTCACTGAAAGAACAAAGGCACAAACAACAAAAGCAGTTTCATTCAGCGCATAAATACCAACACAGAAAAGGCTATCCATTATCCTGTCTCACTTTTGGCATTTAATATCAAATTAAGTTGGATAAAAAGTTCTAAATCTTCTTCAGGAAATATTTTGTTGTTTCCTTAAACAGCAGTTTTTATTTAATACAGAACAACTCTGTGGCAAATGCCCAGATTTTATACTGTCATGTGTGATTTTTCCAGAAGAAACGTCAAGTCCTTTTGCTTCCTCCCCCTTAATATGGATTGATTAAATGCAATGTCAGAGTTCTATTAGGAACATCTGAAATGGAGAATGCCCAGGAAAGTGGGCACAACCATGGTAATACTAATATTTTGTTCCTGGAGAGGGAATTTATTTTATTTTATTTTATTTTATTTTATTTGCTAAAACAGCACATTTCTCGGGGCGTGCGTGGATAAGATCGAATTTCAGACTGATGAAGCACAAACACTTGTGTTCAGATTCCGTTATTTTTGCACATGTACACATAGCCCTCTGGGGAGCTGCTGATCTCTGGTGATATGTGTTTGCTTTGAGACCTCATGGATCAGCAAGCTGTAATGTAGCAATGGATGTATGTATCCAATTCCAGCACCTCCTGGTCATCCCATTTCCCCCATGGGCCTCATTTGTCAAAGTTAGACTGTGAAATACTTGGAGCAAGCATTTTGTTTTCTTCAATGCTGAATTAGTAATCACACTGCTTTCACTATTTCTGATTATATTAGAATATTAATCTGTAAGACTCTTAGAACACTTGCTAAGACTGGATTCTAACTTCAAAACAGCCAGTGTCATTTACTTTAAAGTAATAACTTGAATAAAATATCACAGTGTTTCCTATAAATTAATGTTAAATCTATTTCTTGTCAATGTAGCCACAGAGTAGTTTAGCGAATTTTATAACTAATAATTGTTTTTTTTATATTTCCTTTATTCGTCATAGTCATAGAAAGAGAAGTCTTTTCCTGTTAACAGGACATTTCTGTTTATATGCTGCACTGTGTTTCTACTCCCTATGAAATCTATGTATTTCTATCTTCTTTAATATACCTGTCCAGCCAGCACTTAAATGGCTGAACAGTGTTGAGAGTTCTAGGACAGCCTCAACTACATAATGAGACCGGATCTCAAAAGAGTAAAACCAGAAAAGCCCAAGATTTTTTGCTAAGTATCTATTAATATCCATTATATATAATATTAACAACTTAAAAACTATTTTTGAATTATAGCAATATTTTATTAAGAAGAGATTAATCTTTTTTTTCATCAGAACATCTAAAACATTGTAGCAACTAGGTCCTTAAGTACCAGAAGGGCGCTTTTTTGCTTGTATCCTTCACCCCTCTGACTCCTACAATTATTTCTTCCTCTCTTCAGCAGGATTTCCCAAGCTTGGCCTAATGTTTGACTGTGGGCCTCTGCATCTGTTTCCATCAGTTATTGGATGAAGCCTTTCCCACTGTTGGATTAGGTCCCAGTCTTTAAGTATAGCAGAGTATCGCTAGGCATCATTACATTGACAGTTTTCATCTCCAGTTGTGATTCATTCTATTCTAGTTTCTGGGCAATCCAGCCTCTGGGTCCTGGAACTCCAGGTAGTGTCAGGGGTGGGCTCAACCTTATGGCATGGGTCTCAGGCTGGACCAGTCATTGGTTGGCCACTCCCACAATCTCTGTGCCACCCGTACCTCAGCACATTCGATAGACAGTCTAGGACAGACTGTAGGTTGAAGGTTATGTACCTGGGCTGGTTCCCCAGTACTTCCGCTGATAATATTGCCTGGTTACAGGAGACGAGAAGTTCAGTCTACAGGTGTGCACCACAAGAACACTTGCTCAGCTATGCTCATAGCAGCTTTATTCATAATAGCCAGACCTGTAAATAACTTAGATGGCCCGCAACTGTAGAATGGATAAAGACAATAGAATATTACTCAGCTGTTAAATACAATGACATCATGAAATTCAAAGGCAAATGGATGTAGCTAGAAAAAAAAATCACCCTGACTAAGTGCTGTAGGAATTCCCACCTCTAGTAGCCTTTAAGTTACCCGCCCACTTGGGCATATCCTATTATACTATAAAACCCAATGTAAAGCATGCCCTCTCTTCCAGTGGTGTGATTTGGTTCCTGTTCCCTCTTTGTGCAGAGGACTGTGATCTGTGAGTCTACCCCTAAATAAATAACCCTTTAGTATATTCAGTTCTGAGCTAGTGTGGGATTTCTTTTTAGCGTTCTTCTTCAAGTAAGATAACCCAGACCCAGAAAGACAAATATGGCATGTCCTCACTCATAAGTAGATATTAGCTGTAAAGTAAAGGATAACTATGCTACAACCCACAGATCCAGAGACACTAGGTAGCAAGGAGGACCCACTTGGATCTCACTGGGAAGAGGAAATAGGAGAGATTTTGTGGGTGGACTGGTGGCAGATGGGGATGGGAACATGAAGGATCAGGTGGGTGCCAAGTGGGGAGATTACTGAAAGAGCCAACAAGGAAAGGAGGCATTTCAGGGTCAGGCAGAAACCTAGAGTAAGGGAAACTCCCAGGAAGCTACAAAGATGACCCCAGCTAAGACTCCTATCAATCACAGGTATGCACCACATCTTAAAATGAAATGACTCTCCAAACAGTTTAACCACAGTTTGGTAAGATTTTCAGTATCTGTCAATAGCATTCAGACCAAAATCCAGTTTCAAAACCAGGTATAATAGGACCTCTCTTTCTACCTCTTATCAAGCCATAATTAACTGTTTTCTCTTTAAGAAGTGCATAGAAATTACTTATTTTTTCTATAAAAAAGAAATCAGCCAAAATAATAAAAAAATAGGTCTAAGTTAATATTGAGTAATAGTGAAATTTTGTCTACATAATTCCTCCTTTTAAATCTAATTACAAGCCACTGTTGGTGTAGCAGATCTGTAACACCAGCTATTCCAAGTGCTGAAAAAAGGGTATCATAAGTTCAAGAACTGCCTGAATGGCAGAGTAAGTTCAGGGTCAGACTGAACAACCTGGAGAAACACGATATCAATATAAAACAAAAGAGACCAGCTAGAGAGATAGCTCAGTCGTGAAGTGCTTGCCTTGCATGTACAAGGCCCAAAGTGTAATCCCAAGTACTTCCCCACAAATATAGTTATAATATTTATTGTATGGGTTTCTGAGAACCCTTTTTGACCATTTTCTAATTCACAAAAGGACAAATAAACATGCACATATCCCTTTTGACAGAATAGATGATATAAGAATTTTGTAGAACAACACATGCTAAGATTTATAGCTTTATAAACTTTGAATGTAGTAGATGGAATGTGTACTAACATTCCTAATAAAACAATGTCAGTTTCCCAATTCTATCACTTCTCAAGGGAAGGAAGAGCTATAATGATGCAATATGAAAGAAGCATTTATCGGGCCTTTGCTTCAGCTCCTGCCCCTGACCACTCCTTTAATTTCCCCAGACGGGCTTCCCATCACTTGCTCCAGAGAGCCAAGCTGTCCCCCTGCCTCCAGTGTTTATGTGTCAACCCAGAGCACAGTTCATCTCTTTCCCTAACTTCAGGTATGTTGCCTCAAATGTTGATTACTGCTCAACCTAAAAGAAGTTCCCATTTTAATCTGTCTTAACATCCTGAATGCTTCCTTTACCAACTTTCCATAAAAATACTCCATTCCCACTGGATGGAATACATCTTGAAGACTGATCGTATTGTTTGTTAACTGTAGATATCCATTGGCTGGTTCTTAGTTACGCTATTTTGTCTTTAAGAACATAGATATTATGTTTAATTTTTGAGAACTTCACTAGAGGGATGGTTTGAAAGAGAAAATATAGTGAATAGAAATTAGTTGCTTCTCCTTTGAAAGAATGTGTACAAATGAAAGCAGCCTAAAATTAAGTGTGCATGTAACTCTACCATAAGTTCTCCATTAACTACACCTCAGTCTCGACTGCAATAACTTCTTCTTGCCTCACGCCCTGCAATTGCAGGAGTGAACATTAGGGCTCCATTCATCTCACAGTTCGTTCTGTGTGACCTTTGAGCAACCTCACCCTTTCTCCATACTCCCATAACTGTTGTTTAGTTAATGCAACAGAATGCCAACTGGGCATCAAAACAGCTGTGACTATGCCAAAGCTAACCCAATGATGACACTTACTACGTAGGCATGACTCTGGGTCTGAATTGGTCTGAAAATATTTGACTCATGATTCCATATTTGCTTCTCTTTTTTTTCCTTTCTCTGTCATTTACACCAGGAGCTGTCATCTATTTTTATTAACAATTAACTATGTTTCTATATTTTTTTTTTACCAGGGAGCATTAAAAATTTTAGAATTGGGGTAAAACCTATGCACAGTGGCCCCTTCAGTGCCCACTGAGTTCTCATATCCCAAATACTCTGTTTCAATACTTGGAGACAGTTTCAGTTTTACTGATGAGGCAATAAAGCTAAGAGAAAGAAATGGAAATATACTAAATATGTCACTAAGAATTAGAGTTCCTCAAATAAAGTTCCCTCTCGGCGGCAGTGGTTGAGCCCTCTGCCCCGCTGCCCATATTTTAGTCCAGTGACTTACGGGCTTTCACAGTGAGGAGTTCAGTGTGTCTGGAGATGATCTGCCATCTGTGAGGAAATGTTTAGGTTAAAAGCTCTGCATCAGAGATGGGGAATGTTGAAACGTGAGCAAAGAAAATAAATGTCTTGAGGGACTTAAACTTACAGAGAGCATATTTACCCCACATGAATATCTTGTGTGGCTGGGGAAGCCCAGATATTTCACCTCTGAGGCAATAGCTGAAACAGAGAGTAATGGAAGTGATGACAAGCAAGGGCATGGCTTGGGTATTCCAAGAATTATGGTTCCTTTTCAACGTTTTTTTTGCTGAGTCTCTGGCTCAGGAAGCATAAACTGGGCTCTGTGGGCTCTGCTCATGTGTGAGACATTGGGTCAATACCCACTGTCTACCAGACACTGTAATAAAAGATTGCTGACTTAAAAAAAATCACAATGCAATAGGAAAGGATTATACTCAGAGTATGGTATTTTGTGATTTATGTTATATAAGAGCCCCACAAAGGAAGAAGTAACTTTTGATTGAACGTGAAGGAAGACATCAGATAAGATGAGCATCTGAGTTCAAGTGACAGCCACTCTTGTTTGCTGACTTTGGTTTTCCTGAAATCTGTCTTTAAATCAAAGATTTTGGTGTAATCTCAGGATACAGTATGAGGATTGAAGATGATGAATGTGCAGGAATGCGTAGTTAATAACTATGGTAACTGGCATCACTGTACTGGTAAAGACTCAGAACTCTCTCAGAAATATTCTAGTCAGGAGGAAGCTGGCACTCATCCACTTCCTGTTTCATAACTTGAGAATTTCGTCTGGAGGGCACACTTTTCCAGGTGAAGAACACTCATAAGCAGAGTAAAACCGGAGGCCATGGGGATGTAAGAGAGTCATTGCGATGCTCACTTTTAATTGCTAACACTTTCTCTTCAATACTTATTCTTCATCTCATTCCATGCCATCTAAATAGAGCTCATTTTGCTCAAGTATTTGGCAGTATGGCAACCAATAGGCTACTCACTTCAGCACCCAGAATGAATGTTGATTCATGTAAACCCGTAATGATTATTCTGCTTCTCTTATAATTGCTCCTTTAAAAGCAGGAAATAACTAGGCCTAACATAATAGGAGATTTGCTGGGAGCCTTTTGGAAAAATTTGCCCTCTGCTGAAAATGTGACAGAAACAGGGATGTGTGCTTTTTGGACATTTCATGGGGAATTATGAAAATGTAAAGCTTAGAGCTGCAGTATTCATTTTGAAGATGACGGAAAGGTCTGCAGGTGCGAGTCTGTGTAGGAACAATGTGATGGAGGAGAAAAAGGAAAACCCAGGCTCAGATCATCTCTTTAAGCTGCTGAGTTTATAACCTTGGAAATAGCCCGACTTGAACATGAAAACAAGGGTGAGCCCCCTGACCCTTTTAAAGGCATGTGTCACGGAAAGGGATCAAGGCTAACTTGTTGTCCTGCCTGGATATGGATGGTTAGTGACGGTCTCTCCATTGTTCATCTATTCATTCCCAAAAGTTATCATTCACGTGACTAGATAAAACAGTAACAATTCCATGGAGTTAAGCATTCCTTGTTTTCTGGGACCCATTACTAATCCCATTTCTAGAGTTGGAACAGACAGAGTGGTGACTCCCAGGACCACGATGACCTTAATCCTGACTTTTGGACAGGGCCAACCACACCCAGCTGTTGAGTCACTTTTCATTTCAGTCCCCATCCAAATTCTGGCTTCTTCCCTGCCCACAAAAGCTGTCATAGTAGAGGCCTCAGCTTGATTCACACCGCAAGCAGGTATGTCTTCTCAGTACAATCTGGAAGGCTCCAGAGGAGGACTGAATGACCCAATGTTTTTAAGGAGTAGGTTTCCTGGAGTCTGAAGATAGTGAATGCAAGTGTTATATTGCAAGGGTCAAGATAGCAAACCTACCGTTTTCTGAGACGCTTTATTTTCTTGAAAAGAAATAAACTTGAATAATTATGGAAGAAAGATTTCGTGGGTTGTAGGAGGTTTTTGGCTGAAGGCACAGAGGGAAGGGGATAAAATGACATGGACCAATGAATCCTAAGATTCAGGTACCAGTGATAGAATGCCAGGAAGGAAGAAAGATTAAAAAAAGAAAATGACCAGTCAGCTGCTTCCCAGGCACCGTTTGGGGATACAGCTTCGTCTGGTACAAATGACAGACTCTGTTCTCACGAACAACTTTTCTCCCATGTTGGAAAGGCCTTGTGGGAGTGTAGGACTGAAAACATATTAACAATCTTTGACTCAAATAGCATGGTTGATGATCAGTAGCCCCCATGCCCACATAACAAATAGTTTGATCATTGACGAGTTATACCATTTTGGTCTAAATAGCAGTTGTTTCCCTTACCCAATAAGGGTATGAAACCTGTTTCATGACCACAATAAGATCAAAGCCAAAGCATAAATACGAATATGTTATACCTAAAGATATGATAAGAAAATGGGAGTAATATCTGGTTCTGTAATGAGGTGTGCGTATATCCCACAAAGACCCTTTTTCTGTGGGGTTACTCTCAGACTTACTGCTAAGCCCGCCTTCTCCCTTCCCTGCATTTTCCATCTCTCTTCTCCCTTTACCTAACACTGCTTGTGCTGGCACACATGCATTTTCATTCTTTCTAAAATGTCCCCTTACAGCTACCCAACTCTCACTATGAAAGAACTCACAGATTTTCACTGTGGAACCTCACAGATTGCTTGACTTCTGTATCAAAAAGCATGACATGTCTCCTGGAAGCTGCTAAAGGCTCTAGCTTCCTTGTACCTTCTTTTGTTGTTTGTTTCTTCTTTCTATAACTGAAGACATCACTTTTGAATTTCTCTCCAAGTCTGTTTTTAAATTCTTGTGTTGATGAGTCCACGAATCTGCAAAAGGGACTCTGTCTCCCAAAGTGATACCAGAACTCTGTCTTTCACAGTTATTCATGTCTAAGGAAAGCCCTGGAACTATTGAACAAGAATGGTACCACAGGGATGGACATAATTTAATGCTTGGATGCTGTGTTCTCACAGAGAAACTGTGAGAATGCATAACCTAATCCAAGCTGACATCCATGGACCAGCTCACTTGGGGATGTCTAGGGGAAGGATGCACTAACGTTTATCTCCTGAAAAATTTGGAAGAATTATACTTGTTTTCCATATCTGTCAAGAGAAGTCTGACCATATTCTTATTCTTGGTCAGTTTTTCAACACTTGATAACACATCTCGTCCTTCAGAACAGGAGGATGGAATGCAGGGCTTACATACTGGGAAACTTTCATCTGGAAGAAGGAAGAATATTTTTCATCTATTCAGTGAAACATTAATAGCACCTGTGTGTCAGGTACCAGTATAAGTGATGAGGATGTTGTCAGGAATAAGACAGAGACGTGCCCTGCCTTCATAGAATTTATATTTCAGTAAAAAAAAAAAAAAAACAGAATCAGATAAACAGCCCTTTTTTAGGGTTTGATTATTACTGCCCACGTGAAACACTAGAAACAGCAGCATGGGCTCCATCTGAGATGGAGAGGACGATCTAGGATAGTAAGAAGGCGCAGGATGTTATCAAGAGGTATCAAAGCTCTAGCTCAATAATACCCAAGGGAGAATGACGATTGGGATGAGAGAGTCTTCATTTAAAAGAGTTCAGAATTTGTTATAATTCAACAGAGCATCCTCATCGAATTTTAGACAAAGAGATGTTGTGAATGTATTTCCATGCTTCAGTGACAGTTATATGGAGACAAAGGTAGGAGAAAACCAGGCAAGTAAACAAACAAGTTAGAATGAAGATCACGGTTGTCAACATACATGCAGGAAGATGATTGCAAATTGGAAGGAATAAAGATATCTTGAGTTTATGTATAATAATTTGCTTCTTTAAAAGAAAAATGTGCAAAATAAAGAACACATTATCATTCAAACAAGAGAGTTGTGTTCTGCATAATATCTTTATTCTT